GAGGTGGCTGCATAAAATACTGTTGTTGCGGCACAAATGGTAAGTTTGGTACCGCCTGGGCACTATGAAAGCCGGACTGATGGGAGGTGCCGCCTGACTGACTCTCATGGTACGACTGAGTATGCCTCATCGAGGCATTTCGCAAACTGTCTTGAAAATTTGAAGTAGAAGCCGACTCTGACAATCGGTCACTCTTCTTCTGCTCTAGCAGTAGCCGAGCATCTGTGAACGTTTGCTTTGACCCGTCCGCCTGAATATGACGAACCGGTTTCCTATTTCCCGTAGGATAACGGAATTTTGTGAAATCAAGAGCAAGTGGCTCCCGCTTCTTGGATTTAGGATGAGGAGTCGCCTCTCGCCCTTGAACTAGCTTCCTCTTCAGTGAAGTGGAAGGTTTTTTGGCCGACTGCTCTTTGACTGAAGCAGGCGGCTTTTTGTTGATCAACTCTTGAATCTCTCCCTTGAAGTCCCTCATGAAGGTCATGAGTTCGTTCCTTGTGATGGGAGCAGACCCATCAGTCGGCTGTTGCCGAGCAGGCGGTGCGCCTGCTGGCTCGCTTCCTGTTTGAAGATGCTCCCGTTCCCTCCTTTCGGCATGACGGGTACGTCGGGCCCTTAGGGTCCCGTCTGGAGCTGTATGAGTTTCCACTTCAAATTCACTTTCGGTATCATGGTCCGATTGAACTTGAGGGTCGTCTAGGAGACGCCTCTCTTCAGGAGTCGGTACAGACTTGGATGCCATCTCTGAAGTACTCTCCCCACAGACGGCGCCAAATGTTTCGGGGTTTTCTGATGTCCTGCGGGAGAGTTACAATTCTGAGACTGGAACCGGACGCCTGTACCTGCAAAATAACGGAGACTCCTGAGAGCTCCGCCTCCAACGGTCAAGTTAGTACCTGATTAAGGAGTAATTAATACGGAAATTAAAGTAATAAGATCTCTCTAGGTGAGAGTGTTTAATGTTGGTAATCTGCGTCGTTAGCGAGATTAGCCGGTTATTAGTGTTTCGTAATGTTTCTGTTCTTCTCTTGATTTCTTGATCTCCCTAATTAATGAGGATTAATTAAGTATTTATAGCCTTGAGAAGCGTGCCACTTTCTAGGTTTAGGGTAAACCTAGGGCTGACCGGGCCTCTAGACAGGATTGGGCCTTGTTGGCCGGTTTTCCCATTTGGCATGGGTGGACACGTGGCGTGTCTCAATTGGTCCGTAGAGGACGTATCTGTGATTGACACGTGGCAGGCTCCTATTGGCCTTCGTGAAGGACACGTGGCGGAACCTGGTTGGTCCACTTGTCAGACGGTGATTGGTGGATAAAAATCCCCTAATCAACACCTATAGCAGGCCGTCGCCTGTTACGATCCGACACCTGTCACAGGTAACACGTGACCAGTCACGTGCCACCTGTGAGGGGCAAATGATTAGGGGATTTTTACCCACCAATCACCATCTGACAATTGGACCAATCAGGTTCCGCCACGTGTCCTCCACGTAGGCCAATTGGAGCCTGCCACGTGTCATTCTGTGATATGTCCACAATGGACCAATTGTGACACGCCACGTGTCCTTTCCCATGACACATGGGATAGCCGGCCAACAAGGCCCAACCCTTAAGGAGGCCAAGTCAGCCCTAGGTTAAACCTAAACCTAGAGAGTAGCACGCTTCCCAAGGTTATAAATACCTTCATTAATCCTCATTAATCGAGAGGACACACATTAAACACTCTCACCTAGAGAGACTCATTTACCTTATTCCGCATTTATTATTCCCTAAGCAAGTACTAACTTGACCGTTGGAGGCGGAACTCCAATCACGTGGAGTATCCGTTTGTTTTGCAGGTACAGGAGTCCGGTTCCAGTCTCGGAATTGTAACTCTCCCGCAGGACATCAGAAAACCCTAAAACACTTCTCTTTATCAGTATTTGCTTTTTTGAAATCGTTTGAAGTGTAGCACCTAATACAGTTAAGTTTAACAATGAGTTTATGTTAATACAAGGAGTATAGACGTATTAAACATGTTAAATAACTTTAAAACCATATATACTTACTTTATAAGCATTTTTATTTACTTTATTTAACTTATCATTTACTTTTATGATCAATCATGTAGTAGTATGCTTCATAATATTTATATTGATATCATAGACTTTTAAAGGTAAATGGTTTACTTTATAACTGTTTCTATTTACTTTATAAAATGAATCTTTTACTTCAAGATATGGAGATTGCTTTGAATTTGCAGGTTTCTTTGGAGTTATCTTCTGTGCTGCAAGAGCTTTCTTGGCAGCAAGAGTAGCTTTTTTCCCTACAAGAGCTTTCTTTGCTGCAGGAGATTCCTTTCGAGGCTTTTTTGCAACATTTTTCTTTGTAGTTTTCGTCATTTTAATCTGTATGGAATTCAAAACAAAAATGAATCATGCTTTCTCGATTTATACTTGATGGTTTTACACTGCCTGATATATATAATTTCAAATCAACTCTTGTTATTATAATAACAACAACAAATGATTTCTATACATGCAACATTTCGAAACAAAAAAAACCAATCTTCATTTCAACCACATAAATTTCTTGATTTTTATACAAGCCATAATAGCTACAGATCATACAATAATTCATTAACTTTTAATCAATTTTAAGTTACTTTTAGCCAATTTCTATCTACTTGTAAAAATAAACCACTCAAAATTACTCAAAGGAAACTACTCTAAATTCATGATTTTATTTTGTTGACTTTTAATTATTTATATCAACTTTTATTTGATTTCTTTTAACTATTAGCAACAATTACTCAAAAATTAACTAAAATTACTCGACATTAGAAGCAATAGAACCAAATTTACTCAAATTTTTACCTATATTCTCTTAAAAACATCTGATATAAATTCATACCGAAATTCATAAAAAAAAAAACAGATCTAAATTTTTGGCAAAATTCGTAAAAAGAATAAATAAATAAATAAACCTTTGATTAAACTTCTAATTATCTTCTAATTACAACAAATTTAACCAGAAATTAAAAGTAAATCAAATGAAATTGGAACAAAAACAAACAAAATTCCAAAAATACCTGATATCGAACTTTGAAACACCGAAATTGAACTTCGAACTACTCCGATTCAATTTTTGCTTCTTCAAATTCAACAAATTCAAGCAAAAAACACACAAATAAGTAAGAAATTGCAACAATATTAGACAAAAGAGTATGAACTTCAAAGTTTCGAAATAATACCTAATTTTCACCAATTTTTGCTAATTTTCGCGATTTTTGTTTCGAAACTGCAAAAATGTAGATTATAAAACTTGAATTGTGTTTATATAGAGTAATTAAGTAGTTGAAAATTGCGGTTACGGTGGTTTTTCGAAAATTTTGAGCAGTTGAAAATGGCGGAGGAGAGAGAGAGATGAGAGGGAAAATGGCGCCTGAAATTTTCGTGCCTCATTCAATTTGTCTGAATTGATTTTGGCCATTAGATCGCGCGCCTCTTCTCTTTTATCTGACGGTTCAAATTAGTTCCTAGTTCCTATTATAGGATTGATTCTCATTATAACCGGGTCATATATATATATATATATTTGAGGTTAAATGAGAAGTTCCTTAAAATAAGAAGGATGAGAAGGTGTTTTTGTGCATAACTTTTGTACTAAATGTGCATATTTTTTGAACTAAATGTGCAAAAAAAAAAAAAAAATTGACCCAATTTTGATGTGCATAAATTTTGTACATAATATGCACATTTTCTAGTTCTCCAGAAAAATCAAAATCTTTATTAGTTCGAAAATCAGTTTTGCACATTTAAAGAAAAAAATATGTACATTTCAGTCTTCTCATTCTTCTCATTTTAAGAAACTTCTCATTGGATCCCAACGCTATATATATGTATATACATATATATATATACATATATATATAAGTATGGTTATTGAACTACTAATTAAACACTCTGTAGGATGTACTATTTAAATACTCCATAGTACTTTAAACAATATACAAATATGCCTTTAGGACCAAACCTATGGAGGTCATCCGATCAATAATCACGATTAATAATGTTATCCTCAATAGGCAGTGATTATACACCCATAATTCATTGTACACATATATTTTCCAATAACACTTGATCTTATATCTCTAACAATTAAACACATATACTCTTATAACATTAGTGTATGAGAAAGAGTCTCAACAGTCTAGACAATACGAAGTAGTTCGTTGGTGTTTTTTTTCTACTGTATTTGTTTTGTTTATTTATTCGTCTAACGAGAATTAAAAATTTAGGGTTTTATAATCACCATAAGTATTTAGAATACCACATAACTATTTTCACCGAAACGATTATGCAATGGTAGTTTTTAAGCCGAATTAGAGCTATCACACAGGTTGTATTGTTTCAAATGAAATTTTTTATGAAAGCGATTGTTTATCAAACCTGCGATGTAATTAGTTCTAACATATTATGTACTTGTGTTGAATTTATAAATTTCTAAGGAGTTTGTTTGTAAGTGGTATTTGTTTATCTTTTATTATTGAGATGCTTCTGTTTTCCTGTCAAATAAAATATACTAATGAAAGCATTATAATCTCAAGAAAACGGAGAAAATTCGGCATTATTTTCCAATACAATTTCCACTACATCACCTATCCCATTTCCATTCAAAAACAGTAAAAGCATGATATTATAGTCATTAACTCATTAGTCATTAGTCAAGTCTATCTAGAAAGTTGTAATTGTGAATCAATTAATTAATCACAACGAAATCAATGGTTGACATTTACATGGGGAATGAGTTAAGGTGAAGAATGGAAGCTTCTTTGATAGCAATGGACTTGTAATACAAGGCAAGCCTAATCTTCACGACCATCCTTTATAGTCACCTATCTCATAACTAACGCGTTTAAACTCGTCAACCGTGACATTTACAAGTGACCCTACACGGCCAAGAACAAGTTTTTCTATAATACCCTATAAAAGCTCAAATAACTCATGTACTCTGCCTCATAACTTATAAATCTTACAAATTAATTTCACTATATTTACTCTTTAAAACAAAAATTACAAGAGTTCATACAATATGGCATTTCCATCAAAATTCTCTTTGCTTTTTCTCTTTGCATCCATCTTCGTCCAGAGTTCTGTAGGTATAAATATTTTGAAGTATTTTTTAATCCGATCACATTTCATGTATATACAATTCACTGTTCATAATTTGTTGTCACATTGATATATGGTACAGGTTAAATTAGTATCGTAATGTGACAATTAATTTTGAACAATCTAAATATGTTTATTCTAATGTAATGATTTTTGTTTATGTAGGAGAGCTGATATGCGAAGAATTACCAAGCGATTTGTGTGTAATGGCAATCGCTTCATCGGGGAAGAGGTGTGTGTTAGAAAAATATAGGAATGATATAGAGGAGACAGAGTACCAATGTAGAACATCAGAAGTGGTGGTAGAAAGAATGTCCGAGCACATTGAGACTGATCAATGCGTTAAAGCTTGTGGAGTTGATAGAAAGATGGGTGGCATCTCATCTGATAACTTGCTTGAACCTCAATTCACTGCTAAACTTTGTTCTCCTTCTTGTTACAACAAATGCCGCAATGTTGTTGATCTCTACTTCAAATTGGCTGAAGGAGAAGGTAAAATCTATACGGATGCTTGGATGATATTTAAAAGATTACATGTTTTTTTTTAATTGTTTACTCACTATTTTCTCATCTTATTCTGACTTCTTTTTTAAAAATAAAAATATATACTTGTACATTCTATAATATATCATTGAATTTCAAAACATCACGTCATTATAATTTTTATTATTTTGAAAAACTAATATACATTTTTTTTTTTTTGAGGGAACTAATATACACTTAATAAGATTCAACATGCTAATTTATTTCTTATGCTCAAAATTATTTTATTGTGACTGTATGAATAGTTTGCTAGTCGAACTTTCAAAAAGAGAACTATTGTTAATCATCAAAATTAATAATTTATAATTACAAACGAAGTATATTATATCCACTCTCTAGGCCCTTTTTCAGTAGGGAGTATTGATGTACTCAAATATGTGTGCATGCCGTGATTAATTTCATAGCTGCAAGTTTCTGTTTTACAAAATTGTTGTTAAATTTGGCTCTAACTTTTAATAAATTTATTAGATCAACATGATATATGTCTCTTATAACCCACAATTATTTTTAATTTGCAGGAGTATATTTGCCAGATTTATGTCAAAATCAACAGAGTAACCAACGTCGCGCCATGGTTGAGCTTATGAGCTCTGGAGCTGCACCAGGCCCTGTTTCTGGAATCCATGTTTCTTCATCTCTCCATGCTGATGATTTGGCTCCAGCACCTGCTCCCGTTTCCAGCTTTATCTAAAAATATTTAATTTTGATGTTAAAAAATTGAATGTAGAAGCCAGAATATATATTTGTATTGTCAATTTCATTGTTGTAAATTTCAATACTTTGGACAAAAAATTTGAGGTGATTAGTGGTTAAAAAGTTATTAATTACTTCAATTATTTCGTAAAAAACTTCATTTACTGCTGGGTCCTAATTGTTTTCTCTATAGCCTTATCTTAGTTTATTAAGTTTTAATTGAATATAAATGATGATAGAGCACAGATTCTCCAAAAAAGTGGGTGTATGTTAATTTATTGTAAAATGGGTTAAAATTGTGTTAAAAATACTTAAAGTTACCTTTATACTGCAAAAGTTATTATTTTTCTATTAATAGATTTTATCTTACAAAAAACTTATAATGTATTAGATTAATCATATTAGTCTTTATAATATGTAATCACGTATCTATAAGAAATTACACATTATAATAAAATTCAAATCAACGACAAATTAAAAGTTATTCTTTAAGTGGTTAAAGTTACCATAAAAATAGTAAAAATTACGCTCAAATTGACTGTTTTACAGTAAAATTAATGTATACCCATTATATACAAGACTTATACAAAGTAGAGAACCTAAAGTAATTTTTGTAATAGTAAAGTTGTGATATCCATGCAATTTATAGAACAATCTTTTTTGAAGGATGAGAAACTCTCTACGACGGACACCCTTGAATAGACTTCAACTAAACATATAGCAATGGTGAAAGAGAGAATGGTTTACTTTCTTTTGTGTACGAAGTAAATTACATTATTTCATTATCTCTCTTCTCAATGTGCGACTCTCAACTCATTTATACTTTTTATCATTATTGAAAAAATTCACAATATTAATCCCAACTATTGTTGTTCTTATATTAGTATCAACTAGGTTAATGCCGTACAATGCACGATTATAATAATAAAAAAATTATTTATATGGGTGTAATATAAATATTTTAAGCAAAATATAATAAATCATGATCCCTCTCATGAGATTAATCAAGCTAAAAATTATTCTAATTAACTTCATAGTTATAATAAAATTTTAAAAATGTTAGCATTCGCTTTTGATTCATCATTATAGAAAATTTAAAGATTTAATAAAGAGTGAAAAATCCAAACTCTGTTATCACGAATAAAATGCATGAGATAGTTTTTCTAAACATTTCTATGTAGGTAGAAAAAAAGAATGTGAGAGAAATCATGTAATTAGTCAATTTACTCTTAAGAACTTTTAGAAAAATGTATCATTAATCAATCATTTTCAAACAATAGTTTTATCTTGAAAAGAAAAGAAAAAAACTAATGTCATTAATAGTTTTGGAGAGAAAATTTTTTATAAGATGGCGACACATGAACAGTGGTGATGTCAACGGTGTTTAGTTTAGTATTAGTTTGACGGGTTTTGGTGACCCATGGGCGATCATATATACTCCCTTTGTATTTTTTTTCAAGTGTTATAATTTGACGGGTACATATTTAGGCAATTTGATTGATTCTAATTATATAATAAGATGTAAGTGTGGACATGTGGTAGTTTCAATTTTTTAAGAAAAAAGACAGCGAAAATTATGTTTCATTAAAAAGTATAGAATTTGAGAGGAGGGAAATAAAAAAAATATATTAAAGGTATTAATACCAAACAAACCATTAACTACCTATTCCACGTTGTTAAAATAAATAAAAAAAAAATTTAAAAAAAAAAAACTACCCATTCCATTAACTTCTCTAAGTTCCTGTTCACTTCACTTTAAAAAAATAATATTCAGTAAAAATAATATTCAGTAAAAATATTTTCAGTCCAGTAAAAATAATTTCAGCTCATTAAAAATCATTAACTTCCATTAAGAAATATACATGTGAATCAGTAAAATTAATTTTGATTCATCAAAAATAATTTCAATTCAATAAAATATTCAGTTCAGCAAAAGTAATTTAAGTTCAATAAAAATTATTTCAGTTCAGCAAAAATAAGGTGAAGTGAACAGGGCCTAACATACTACATATTTTTTTTTAAAAAAAGCCCCATTATCTAATTTTATTGTAAGAAATATTCTCTCTACACGCGGCATAAGCACGACTACATGAGTAATTTCTAATATATAACTAGTTTAGATCCCGCGCCACGCATGGTTTATACATAGTATAAGTTAATTAAATCAGAATTATATTTTTATACAAAGTATATAAGTTACTAACTAATAAGGATTTTTTGTGAAAATCTACCTTATATACATCAAATTTTGTGAAAAACTACTTTATAAAAAAATTATTGTAAGAAACTAGCTTATAAAAACTAAATGTTGTAAGTGGCTACCATGTGCTTAATTTAACAATGAAAGAGAAGGAGAATTAGGGGTTATGAGGGGGCTATGGAAAAATTGGGTGAAAAACGGAGAAAAAATAACTGAAAATGGGTCATTAAACGTCGCTTATTTTGGTGTAATAATTCTACAAAAGGTAGCTTTTTTACGACATTAATTGTTTTATTAGGTAGTTTCTTACAACATCTATTTTCTAAAAGGTAGTTTCTTACAATATTTTTTTAAGAAGGTAGTTTTTCACAAAAACTGACTTGTATAAGGTAGTTTTTCACAAAAAAGCCATTTTATTAACTATACTATAACAAAGACGTCAAAGTTAGCACGTTTGCGATACTCACACCGTCCCTATTAAGTAAAAACACTTTGATCGGCATAAGATTTTAGACAATAATACAATTAATGACTTTTATTTTATTTTAAGTGAGTAGTAGGGAGTTTTGTTTTTATTTTCTTCTTAGATGTTATAGTTAGGCCCTTGTTCTCTTCGACTTAAAGCAATAATCAAATCATATCAAATCAATTCAAAGCCTTAAGCCTTAATCCCATAAGTGGGGTCGGCTAACATGAACCAAATTTGATTATGTCATGTAGTCATCGACATAAATCTTCCTCTCCATCCCTTACGATCTAATGCTTCATCCTCATGCAAATCCATACAATTCATATCCTTCCTAACTCCTTCCAACCAAGTCATTTTCGGTCTCCCTCTCCTTCGTTTAACCCCACCATGGTCCCACTCTTCCACTCTTCGCACCGGTGCACCTTCGGGTCTCCGTCTTACATGCCCAAACCAACGCAGGCGATTTTCCCTTAGTTTATCTGCAATGTCTACCACACCTACTTTCTTGCGAATAACCTCATTTCTTATTCTATCTCTTAGAGTGTTCCCACACATCCACCTTAACATCCGCATTTCCGTAACCTCTATCTTTTTAATTGCTCCTTCTTAGAAACCCAACATTCTGTACCATAGAGCAACACTGGTCTTATGGCAGTCCTGTAGAACTTTTCCTTCAACTGTAAGGGAATGCTTTGATCACATAACACTCCCTTGGCCGCTCTCCGTTTAAGCCACCCCGACTTAATCATGTGAGCCACGTCTTGATCAGTGTCACCATTCTTCTGGATGATCGACCCAAGATACTTAAAGCATTCACTCAGGGTTAAATCCTTTCCGTCCAAACTCACCACTGTCCCCCTTTGAGTACCAAAACGACATACCAAATATTCAGTCTTACTCCGACTTAGCTTAAACCCTCTAGGTTCCAACCTTTGCCTCCATTGCTCCAACTTAGCATTAACCTCGTCCTTAGTTTCATCCACCAAAATGATATTATCTGCGAACAACATACACCATGGAACCTCATCTTGAATTGGTCTAGTTACTTCATCTAGAACCGTTGCAAAAAGAAAAGGGCTTAATGCAGACCCTTGATGCAATCTGATTGTAATAGGGAAATCTTTTGTCAACCCTCCACATGTCCTCACATTTGTTGACACATCCCGATACATATCCTTAACCAGGTCCACCTACCTTTGTAGGATACCTTTCTTCAACATTGCCCACCAAAGTACCTCTCTTGGTACCTTATCATATGTCTTCTCTAAATCAATAAAGACCATATGAAGATCCTTCTTCTTTACCCTATATAACTCCATCATTTGTCTTATCTAATGCTTATGCATGCCCTTAACCCATGTTCAATCACCCCTTCCCACAACTTCATAGTGTGGCTCATAAGGTTAATCCTTTGATAGTTAGAACAATCTTGAGCGTCTCCTTTGATTTTATAGACCGGGACTAAGGTTCTCTTCCTCCAATCTTGCGGGATCCTTGTAGCCGTCCATATCTTGTTGAAAAGGTTTGTTAACCAATCAATACCAATCTTACCCAAACATCTCCACACCTCTATCGGTACATCATCAAGGTCAACCGCCTTCTTAGGCTTCATCTTCTTCAGTGCAATCTCCACCTCTACTCTCCTAATCCACCGCACATACTCCATATTGATTTCTTCATCACTCACGGAGGTATCTCCTGTCACAACTCCATTACTTCCATTAAATAATTCATCGAAGTACCCCTTCCACCTGTCTTTGATGTCCTCCTCTTGTACTAGGACCATTTGGTTCTTATCTTTGACACACTTCACCATGCCAATATCCTTCCTTGTCTCTTGTCTACTCTTTGACATCTTATAAATGATCTTTTCTCCCTCCTTGGAGTCAAGCTTTTCATAAATCTCCTGATAAACCTTTTTCTTTTGCTTGGCGAACAGCTGCCTTTACCTTACTCTTAGCCTCTTCATACAATGCAAAGGTTTCGTCACTTCAATATTTTCCTAAGGCTAGATAGCATTCCCTTTTTTGCTTAATTACTGCTTTCACTTCTTTATTCCACCACGAGGTATCTCTTTATATCGAAGCTCTTCCCCTTAATTCTCCTAAGACCTCTTTGGCCACTCTCAGGAAAAAATTCTTCATCCGTAGCCAAGTCATGTCTGGATCCACCTCTCCATCCCAATTCGCCTCCCTAATTACCTTTTTTGTAAAAACCTTAGCCTTTGCATCCCTTAGAGTCCACCATCTTAACATTTGGCTCCTCTTGTCTTCCTTTTTTCTCCGCCTTCTCTTTCAAACGGATAGTCATTACCAAAATCCGGTGTTGGGTGACCACTCTCTCTCCTGGGATGACGTTGCAATTTAGGCAACTTTGTCTATCCGTGCTCCTTGTGAGCAGGAACTCTATTTGTGTTGCATTTGCTCAACTCCGAAAAGTTATCAAGTGGGAATCCCGCTTCTTAAACCAAGTATTAGCCAAAATTAAATCATATGATTGGGAAAAATCCATAATAACTTCACCACCTGCGTCCCTCTGCCCATACCCAAAGCCTCCATGGACACTCTCATAGCCATCTCGGCTCGCCCCAACGTGCCCATTTAAATCACCACCAATATTTAATTTCTCTAAGTGGAGGACACCCTGTACCACCTCGTCTAAATCTTCCCAGAAGTGTCGTTTCTCTTCTGCATCCAAACCAACTTGGGAAGTATAAGTACTAATAACATTCACAATCTCCTTGCCACATAGTAACTTCACCCTTATCAACCTATCATTCTTCTGATAGACCTCGATTACCTCTTTCAACAACCTCTCATCGAGAATCACATTAACTCCGTTCCTAGCTCCACCATTCCTAGTCATGTGGCTCGTTTCTTGTACAACGTACCACGCCTTATACCCTAAAATCAAGCCTCGAGCTCCTTCTCCTATCCACCTTGTCTCTTGGAGGCACATGATGTTTACGCGCCTTCTGTTCATCACTTCTACCACTTCTGTTGATTTCCCCATAAGAGACCCCACATTCTAATAACCAATCCGCAAACTAGAGTCCTTTCTCCCACGCTCCCTCATAATACACTCACTCGTACCACGCTCCCTCCTATTCCCAACTACAAGCCCTTGATTATTTGACACCACACTTGGGCAATGTGGCGCGTTGCTTTCGGGCGACATCTTAGCAACCCTTGCATACTTATTACTACACCCGGGTCTGGGAAGTGCAGCGCGTCGCTCAGTAGGGAACGCCCCAATGGCACGCCCTTGCTCATTTGACACCAAACTTGGGCAATGTGGCGCGTCGCTTTCATGCGACGACCTAGCAACCCTTGCATACTTATCACTACACCCCCAAGGTCTAGGAAGTGCAGCGCGTCGCTAAGTAGGGAATGCCCCCACAAAAATATCAGTTTGGCTCATGTCATGGGATGTGACAAAGTTTTACACTGGCTGTCACTGGCCCACCAAAACTCTCTTCCTTTATCCAGGCTTGGGACTGGCAGCGGGAAAACCCATTAGCAGAGTTCGGCTTAAAACAAAAATATATAATAAAAATAAAGTTAATTGAGTAAAAAAAATTCCAGTGATTTAATTAAAAAAAACTAATTTTTGAAACAATAGGTTAAGTTAAGTAAAAAAAAAAGATTTCAAAGAATAAATATAATAGTTAATCAGCGAAAATAATTTAAATTTAATACAGTAAAAATAATTTTGGAAAAATAACAATGTTTTTGGTGGGAAAACTTTTTATGTGGTGTTAACACGTGTAATCTACAAATAATTTTAGGGATTACTTGGTAGTATATTAGTATTGTTATTCCATAATTCATTTGATGATTTTATGATTAATTGGAGAATTATTCAAGTATCCCTTAAAGTATGAATCTAGATCTAAACATACACTAAACCTTGAGAGTTTGTCTTGTATTCTAACCTAATACACTCAAGGTAGGTTTGATCGTGCGGGTGTGTAGGGAATTTTAACTCTGTTCTATTGTGGGTCATGTTTTTAAGCATGGCGGCGCTTCAAAGATGCTAGAGAAAAAGATTCGCCAACATATTTCAGGAACTTGTAAACCATTTATTACGGGTGTGAAGGTTACACCCCATTCACAATCATAAAGATTGCTATCCATAGTGGTCCGAAATCATGACTGGATGTTCGGGAATGATGGTACAAAACCAAACTAAAAGAGATTGAACCCGCCCTAAATAGGCCTCTATTTAATTCTTTAGATATTCATGCGCGCTTTTCGATCAACATACATACATCAAGTTAATTCTAAACCTGTTTAATTTACGATGGTTGATTATTAATGCACAATCAAATATATTATTGGTGATCACTTGAAATAAAATCATATTAAGCATAAATCAAATTATTAATTATTAAATCTACAAGAAGAGGGCGTGATCAAGTAATAACAATGAATTATGAACAATCAAGCAACATGTGATTAATATAACAATCGTCATCATAAAAACGTCGCTAGTAGTAAAACCCTAGGCATGATACTAAACAGAATAATAACAAATCCTAGCATGTCAGTAATAACAAAATCAACAAGTTATCCTAAACATGATGCTAGTAATCAAAGCAATAAAAAAATTAGTGTAAATAAACAGAATTAAATAAATACTCACTCCAAATGTGCAACTTTGAATACTACATCATGAATAAATTGTTAGTAACTTCAATAAAAATAATAATTTACAAGTAATAAATTAAAGAGTTATAGGAATTAATATTGCCATCCCAATTATACCTTCACACCTTGGTAATAAAGGTAGAACCTTCGGATCTTGTTTTGGACTTTGAATTACTTGAATAAGATTAGAAATAAAGCTAAGAACAATAAAAATTATACGTTGAAGCTTTAAGTCTAAGCCCTTTTTGGGATGATTTGGGATTGACAAAATATTTGTATGATTGTTAAATTATTCTCCAAAAAATCAGAAATAATGATGGTATTTATAGGCTTAAAATCGGGTGAAGATAGATGTTTAAGAGAAGATAGATTTCTGAAAACGCGTAGCGAGGGGCAGCAGTTTTGCGGTTTTTGTTTTTATCACAACTTTTGATCAAGAAGTAGGAATAAGATAAATAATATATCTTTTCTTGGACAGCTCAAAAGCTTTGGAAGTCTAATTTCCAACCCAATTGGAATCAGATTGATATCTTTTGTAAAATTTGAGATATGATCGAAAAAGTGGAACGGTGTCAAATTTGGATAGAGTTTAGTATTTTAATCATATCTTTTTCGTTTCTAATCGGAATTGGGATTATGATATGTCATTGGAAATAAGATTTCATGGGCTATCCAACCATCCTAAAATTGGATAAAAATTATGAGGCACCAAATTCAATTTTGACCGGTTTTGGGACTAGAGTTGTGAAAAGGGAAAATGGGCTAAGTTTGGGCTAACGAAATGGATAAAATGGTTTTAAAAATAATTTTAGGCTAGAAAAAGAGGAGTATTCAAATAATTCTTAGATCCATTACGCAAGCAGAACAAAGTTAGGCAATAAGAGATTGTTTCGTTATCTGGCTTTGGTCAGGGAGACATTTTTAGGTGTCTATAGAATCCCCCACTTTGATTAAGTTTGGAGAAACGTAAGTTGCGAAAACGATATTCAATGTATTCCAAAAGGGACGGAGAACGATCTCAAAATGTTCTATGATCCAAGACAATTCTTTTAACACCGATACCTGATGAAAACTTCAGTTCTACAAATAAAGGAGTTATGATATCGTCGGGTACACGTCTCTAGGTGACATCTTGTCGAATCGAACTTGTTTTGATAACCTCCACATTCCTGGGGAGCGTTGTCAAAGATCGCTTCGCCTTGAGTTGTCTTCTCAATATGGGGTGACAACCTCCTCATTCTTAGGGAGCGTTGTCAAACACCAATTCACCTTGAGTTGTCTTCTCAATTTGGGGTGACAACCTCCTCATTCTCAGGGAGCGCTGTCGAAGAGCACTTCTCCCTGAGTCGTCTTCTCAAATCTTCTCGCCTTCATGCCTTAGAAGTGATAGTTCCTCATTATGGATACCTAAAAATGTCTCCCCAAAACCAAACCCGATGATGAACAACCATTCACCGCTGTTATTGGTCGGCTTGAGTATTTAATCTTTGGAGTTCTTAAATCCATATCCAATCCAATATATTTCATAAATTAACCCAATTCGTAGCCCATTTCCCTAAACCATAACTTATTTTCCTCTTTTCGTGTCCACATCACAAAACCGAGCTAAACTGATTTCGTTGCCCTATAATTTTGATCCAAATATTATTTGGTTAAATAGACCTTGAAATAAGCTTTCCAACGGTATATCATAAGCCCAATTCCAATTTAAAACGAAGAAGATATGAGCAAAACACTAAAACCTAGCCCAAAACCGACACTCTTGTACTAAAACCGACACTCGTTTCTAGGGTTTCGTAACTCACTCCATCATTTTCATCTATAAATACGATGCTGATTTCACATTTTTGGGGCACCAACACACATTCTCATATTTCTCTCTCATAGTCTAAGCCTTAAACCTATTCTCCTAATTACACCATTCATTTCCTAAGTACTCCAAGGAGTCCATACAACACCCAAAGTTCCACACTTAATTAAATCAAGGCATGAAAGGTAGAACTGATTGAGGGTTTTGACCAAATCAACTCTACTTTTATTTAATTTTATGTCAATTTGATTTATTATTCTTTGAAGTTACTAACGATTTATTCATGATGCAGCAATTTGATGAAGCGCAGAACGTGAGTAATTTATTCAATTACTTATTATAATTATTATTGCTAGTATTATGATAAGATTTATTATTATATTCTTGATGATTTGACTAATGATATTATGGTTAAATTGTTTCTAATATAATGTTTATTCTATTATTATTATTAATCACCATATTGCATGTTTAAAAGGAATATGTAATTGAATATAACGACTAATAAGATAAATTGGATGACCGATTTAGGTTCCTTTTTAATGTTGTTGTTTAATCAAGTGTTCATAAATATTTTAGAATTATGTGTGCATTAATATTCAACCAATTTAGCCTAATATTAGTTTGGAGCAAATTGAATCTTAGTTTGTGTGCCTTTGAGATCGCAGGAAATACTTTTCGCAATGAGAATCGAGTAAAGGCAAATACGGGCGAATGTGACTCCATGACTCCCTTAGTACCATCATCCTTGATCCTCCTTTCGTGGTTCCGAACTATATGGAGTTAGTAATCTCTTGGATTATGAATGGGGTGTAACCTTCACGGGTCAATCGTTGTTGCCTATTGGTGTCCCTTATTCGTGATTGCCTTAATTGATCCGTGAACGGTTTACAAGTTCCTTAAAAACTTGTTGGCGGTTCCCTGCATTCCTTGTCCCTAATTGTATAATGTCAATTCCCACTTCGTATGATTGCCAAGCATATTTACAACATACTTAAGTAGGCGCGCTTCAAACCGACGCCTACACTCATGCCTTTGAAAACCTATCGTAAAACCTTACTCTTCAAGATTTTACCGAGCTCAAATTAATTTCCGTAGAAATCCTCCTTCAAATGGTTATATCTCTCCTTGAGAGTCCTATCGAACCATCTTTGAAAATTGTGACGTAATCGGGTCGATCACCCCTTATTGTGATCGTAATCAAGCCGATCACTTATCAATGTGATCATAATCGGGCCGATCACTTCTCAATATGATCATAATTGAGCCGATCACTTCTCAATGTGATCATAATCGGGCCGATCACAACTCTAAGTGATCGTAATCGGGCTGATCACCCTCAATGTGATCGTAATCGGTTGATCAGCACTTTATTTGATCGTAATCGGGCCGATCACCTCTTAATATGATCGTAATTGGGCCGATTAGTTCTTCATGCGATCATAATTGGGCCGATCACTTCTCAATGTGATCGTAATCGGGCAAATCATTTCGTTATGTGATCATAATCGGGCCGACCACCTAATCAAATGTGATCGTCATCAGGCCGATCA